CTGCCAGCTTGATAGGGACATGTTTTTGGCTGTAATTTCGCAGCCAATGGCGATGGGGCGTCATATGAGCAGTGGCCCCTGAGTCTGCGATCCAAAGGACATCAGCATCGAGCTGCAGAGGGCAGAGGAGGGAAGAGGGGTCAGGGAAGCGAAGACTTGCATTTCCTGTGAATTCCACAGCTTGGGAAGCGCTCTGATTTTGCAAGGGGATAGAGGGCGATGAGCTAGAGGCCTGGGGCGAAGGGGACGAAGCAGATGCTTGATTTGCGGATTTTGGAGTCTTCTTTTCCTTCCTGTTCTTCTGAGAGCGATAGTAGGCTTTAGATTTCGCAATGTTGGGGCATTTGTGGATGCAGTGGCCTGAATATTCGCAGAATGAGCAAACCGACGAAGCTGGGCACTTGCAATCGCCAGAGAAGGTTAAAAGCGCAGTCTCCGATGTACTGGCATCAGGGCGACGCCTGCGCTGCGATTCTTCAGCCAGGAATGCTTCTTTAAGTTTCTCTTTGTCCAGGGAGTGGAATAGAAGTAAAGAGGACGCAAAATGAGCATATTCTTCGCCTAGAGAGCTAATCATAGCCATGCAGACCAGCTCATTGTCCAAGTCCTTGATGGAGTAGGGGGTGGTGGCTCCCTGGGGCGCAATTCCTGGATTTTGGACCTGGAATCTTCGATTCTAGCGATTAGGGAGGTCAGGGACTCATCTGAGGCCTTCCTGATCGAAAAGAAGTCATCCCAGGCATTAAAACGAGCTCCAGGGCGCTGCTGGAGGTGGATGGAGGCCAGGGTGTTCCAGATCTGAACAGGATCATCCTGCACAGCATCTACATGGGTCCTCTGTTCACTAGAAAGCGCCAGGTAGAGCTCTCCAGCTGCCCTGTCCGCTCTAAGGTCCCATTTGGCCTGAGCTTCGACTTTGGAGTCATCAGGGCGCTTTTCCAGACCACTAACAATGGTCCAGAGCCCTTTTGTGCGCAGGAAAGCCTTCATTTCGCCTTTCCAGGTCGAGTAGTTGGAGGCAGTGAGCTTAGAGACAGAGGGCGACGAGTTGGCATGGTCCTCAGCCATTGTGGCGATTTTCGAGTTGAAAGGAGAAGGATGGGGTGGATAGGGTGAGTCTGGAAGCTGGGAGCTCGAAGATTGAGCTGTAGCGAGCGAGTGTGTGGTTCTTTTGGGTCGAGGTTTTGCGCAGAGGTGGATTACGTGGCGACCAATGAGTGCTGAGAATCCTAGAGCGCGGGGCTCATAACCTGTTGAGATAACCACAGACTGAGGCCACTTGTGCCCAGTGTAAGAGACTGAAGAGAATTTCACTGGGCACACAACAGTAAGTGCGCAAAAATGATAAACAAAGGTAAACAATAAAAAAAGCAAACCAAGGACACTTAGAGCGAAGCTAAGTGTCCACTACATGTCTGTAGGGTTAGATAGAAATAACACAGAGGATAAATGCAGTCCTGAGGTGCACAGGCACCTAATATGAACAAAATATAGGGCTAGAGAGCGAGGGATAGGTCCAGGAAGTATGGAAAATTGCGCAGAGGTGGATGACGTGGCAAATGACATGTCCAGAGAGTCCTAAGGCGCAGGGCTCATAACCTGTTAAGATATCCCAATACTCAGCACTCTATGTGCACAGAGTCAGTAACTAAATTGTTGTCTATGTAGTTTTACACACCTATGTGCACAGATTCAGTAACTAAAGAACAAGATACTCTGTGCACAGTACAAATGCGAACACTGAACAAACAAAGAACAACTGAAGAAAATAAGTGCACACATCATTAATATGGAAGGTGGGGAACCTGGCAATTAGTCTGAGGTGCACAGGCACTAACAACAACAATGAGGAGCTTGTGGAAGACTGCATCCCCCCACTAAAAATCTTCGAGGAAGCTGATGATGCCCCACCATCCAGTAACCTGCATGCTTATTCATTCAAAGACATTGACAGGATCACTGACCAACTTGGCATTCCTTGGGCGCTCTCAGAGGATGCACTGTTCTTGCATTCACCAGTCTTCATGGGTTTTGTCTGGAATCTAGAAAACAAGACCATAGGGCTCACTGACAGCACAAAAGATAAATACATAGCATCCTTAGATGAATGGTCTCAGAAGAAGTCACACAATCTAGAAGAGGTGCAGAAGCTCCACAGTCAGCTTTCACATGCAGTGCTAGTGATACCAGGAGGAAATGCTTACCTAACATCACTACAAGCCATGCTAACTATTTTTGGCAACAAGCCTTTCATGCCCTGCATGCAGCCATGAAGCCTGCAATGCAAACTCCTTTGGTGGCAGACAGCTCTCTAAACATCACTTCCCATCCCCATCCCCATCCACCATACTGCCATTGACCTTTGAGCCTTCTCAGATGCCAGCTCCAGCATTGGCCTTGTGATCACTATCAGAGAGAGATGGAGGGCCTGGAAGCTACACCTAGATTGGAAGAGAGACACGAGAGACATTGGCTGGGCTGAGAGTGTTGCTTTTGAATTCCTCATATGCTACCTCCTCCCCATCAGTCCCTCCCCTGAACCTCTACAGGTATTCAGAGACAATGACAGAGTCATCAAGGCCTGGAGAAAAGGTAGGAGTAACAACAGGCCTACAAACGAAACCTTCCAAAGGATCCATGCTCTCCTCACCTCTCCCCCATGCAGAGTTTTTGCAGACTACAGCCTGAGCAAGTCCAACCCAGCAGATGGCCCATCCCAGGGCCTCTATCCCCCCACCCAACTTGCACTACCCCCCATCCAGATCCCACCCCCCATTGCTCACCTTGTTTTCAATTTCAATGACCTGCACACCAGGGGCCTCCCAACATTGACTTCAATAACATCCTGACTATGATGCTCACCCATCTACTGGGCCCCCACCCAACACCCACTGTCATACTCCCATACCCAATGAACCTGACACTGAGACCATCAGAGCTTTGCCCAGGATGCCCAGCCAAAGATAGGCTAGAGCAATGGCAATCACACCCTGACATAGTACAATCCCTAAACATGCCACCAGACTTCAGGGACAGAGTACAGGAGGTCATGCTCAAAGGATGGAATGAGAGCACCAGGGCATCTTATGGAGTGGGTCTGCTCATATACCATGTTTTCTGCAACAGTTGAAACATCGCAGAAAGGGAGCATGCACCTGCAGACACTAACTTATTATCAACTTTCATCTCCTCCTTGGCCAGGTTGTACTCAGGAAAGACCATACAAGGCTATGTTTACAGCATGTGCACATGGCACACCCTCAATGGACTACCATGGATACTTCACAAAGACCAGATAGTGACCATGCTTAAAGGGGCCTCCAGGATCACACCTGCCTCCTCCAAACAAAACCTGTGCAAGCCAATCACAGCACAGATGATCTGCAATGTCCACAATTTCCTGCTAAAAGACAATCCCCTGGACATAGCCATATTTGCATGCTCGACCACCACCTTCTATGCAGTGGCCAGAGTCAGAGAGTTCATGGCTCAAGCACCTCAATGCTTTTGATCCCACACTGCACATCACCCCCACTAGAGTTCAAGGGGAGATGGATTGCAACAGGCTAAAAACCACAGAATTTGCCTTACCAAGCACAAAGTCAAACCCCAATGGTGAAGCAGACAGGACCATCAGACCTACATGCTGCATACCTCCAACACCTGAGGATCAACAACCCTCCTGTCAATGGCCCCCTATTCACCTACAAAAAGGACAGGAGCTACTGCCCCCTGACATGACAAGCCTTCATTTCACACCTAAAGAAACTGGCCAAAGCAGCAGGATACAAGCATGTACACAGCCACAGACTCAGGATATGAGCAACCCTCAAATACCTACTATGAGGAGTCCCCTTTGAGGTGATGAAAGTCAAAGGGAGATGGGCAAGTGATGCCTTCCAGCTTCACCTCTGGAAGCATAACCAGATACTTGCCTCATACATCCAAGCAATGCCCACAGAGACAGCTGCAGAATTCATCTGCATCACAATCCCCCCCATATGCTGAAACCACATCACTTGTGAGTTGAGACATTTGCCCTTCCTAACCTTGGGGAGCCAAGCATGAGCCTGTCACATTGGGCAAAAAAACCCCTCCTAACACCTGGGATATGTTGAGATAACCACAAACTGAGGCCACTTGTGCCCAGTGTAAGAGACTAGTATTCAAGGGAATACTACATGAGACATACCTTGTGCCCAGTGTAAGAGACTGAAGAAAACTTCACTGGGCACACAACAGTAAGTGCGCAAAAATGATAAACAAAGGTAAACAATAAACAAATGCAAACCAAGGACACTTAGAGCGAAGCTAAGTGTCCACTACATGTCTGTAGGGTTAGATAGAAATAACACAGAGGAGAAATGCAGTCCTGAGGTGCACAGGCACCTAATATGAACAGGATATGCAGCTAATGCTCATCTCACAGGTCCCTATCTCACCACAGCTGGGAGGTGCTTCATGCCTCTGCCCACTTGCTTCTATCTTTCAAAACTCTACTTGCAATTATCACATTCCCTTAACAGCTACCAGTAGCAACATGCAAAGATGAAGATTACCAGTGCCATGTGGATCAATTGGAGAAGGATCTTGTCAATGACCTCATTGACTACAATCTCCAGCATGCTGCAGCAAAAGCCTCCCTGTCAAAGGCAACTCAGGCCCTTAGCCAAAAAAAGAAAGCATTGGGGGTTCCTGCACATGTGGACCTACACCTGATGAGGAACAATAAGTGGCTACAGACCCAAACAAATACACAAGCCTTAAAGATTCAAATTAGAGAGTGGCTTCATCAATGCAAGTTTGAGTTTGAGAGGTTGGAACAATCATACAGGAGCTCTGTCAATAGTGGGTGGTGTTTTGTTTGTGGTTTCTATTGCTGACAACAAGCCATAGAAAATCATTTACAATCACATGTGGAGTCATCCATCAAATGACAAGAACCCACTGTACTGAAGCTAGTCACAGCATATAATAATCTCTGTGGTGAATTGCAGGGTATGATTTGGCTGCAGAAAGCACCTCCTGGTGCTATTGCTCCTCCTCCCTTACCATCTAAGGGTATTTTTCAACTGGATGCTGATAGTGATATTTGGCAGGATGTTGGAATTGAGGAGGGTTACCCTGATCCCCCTGGTTGGCTTGCTGATCAGGGTGTGTGCAAGGGAATAAGACTTATGTTGGAGGTTGATCATTGCAATGAAGAAGAAAGAAGGTTGTCAAGAGAGTGGACCATTTTACAGGAGTGGTTTTCTGTGGAGTGGCAAAGTGCAGAGGCTGCTCAGAAGAATGCTGGTGAGTAGAGTTATTATTGATATCACATGGTTTCTGAGTTTGTCACTTTGTAGATGAATGTTACAAGTATCATGTGCAAGCACAAAAGGATAGCCTGGTGGAAACATATACAAAATGGGAAGCCAAGGTTTGACATATACCACATGCTTGGCCTCCATCAAGGCCATGGGGACCCACAGCAGAGGACATAGCAGCATTTCATTCAGCCACTTACAAGCCATGTGGAGTGCCTGACATGCACCATGCAGCTGAGCAACAACCAGAAGACTATGACTATGAGTGGGAGGATTTGACATCAGAAGGTGATGAACTATTGGAGGCCATTGGAGAGATGGCACTATCAGAAGAGTATGATATTGGACAAACAGATGAAGAGAATTTACAGAAGATGAAGGGTGGTTGGAGGGTCTTGAAAATGGCTACTTGCAATCCTCACCAATTCAATTACCATCAAAAAGACATAGATACCAGAGTTTGGAGATGTACATTGAATGTCTGTAATATGTGATCACAATCACATCAGGAATGTAAATATGTTAATGGAACTACTGAAAAGTGCAAAATTTACAAGCACATCCCTGAAGAATTGGCAGGAAATACCAAAAATAGGCATGAAGGGTCCCCTAGTAAAGTGGTTGGAATTATGCATCTAGGTGCTTACTTGGTAAATCTCCACACCATGGTTGGAACACCCACTTGGAGGAAGTTGGCACAATCACAACCAATTCAGGGGAAAGATTCAGTTGTGTCATCTCACCAGCATCTTGAAAGCAGTGCAGTTGTGAACATGAGTACATTGTGTCAGAACCAATGTTCCCAAAAAACTGGGGGAGGAATTCATACTAAGTTGCACTCAATCAACAATAACCGGGGTGCTGTGACACATCATTGACATGGACTTAACACTTTCCACCTTGGGAGTTCTGAGATCTTTCAGGGCAGCATTCATGACTTGGTTTCATGCCAGATTCACCTACTGAATGCACTATGTACCCCAACCAAAACAATGTGTGGTCCTTGGCATGGAGTGTCCCATTGAGGTCCTATTTCAACTGGAGAATTTTTCATTTGGGTCCTTTTTAGCATGGAGAATGTCCCATTGAGGTCCAATTTCACCTGGAGAAAATTGCATTTGGGTCCTTTTTAGCATGGAGAATGTCTCATTGAGGTCCAATTTTACATGGAGAAAATTTGATTTGAGTCCTTTTTAGCATGGAGAATGTCCCATTGAGGTCTAATTTCATCTGGAGAAAGCTTCATTTGGGTCCTTTTTGGCATGGAGAATCCCCTACTGAGGCCCTATTTTGGCTGGGGAAAGCTTCATTTGGGCCCTTTTTAGCATGGAGAATGTCCCATTGAGGCCCAATTTCAGCTGGAGAAAGGCCCATCTGGACCCCAGTCACCCTGACATATTCAGGATAATGTGTATTAATTATGGCAAAATCCTTTTCTCCCACCTCTATCAAATGGCAGGTGTGGAGAATCCCCAAGCATGGTGCTGGAGAAAAGATTTTCCCCACCAGTGTCTGGGGATACCCAACCTGTTGAGACCTCATAGGTATATACAGCTGTAGAAATATGTAGACCTAATAGGTCTCCAAAGGGGGTTGACTGAAGTGGAAGTATTCACTGTAGGATAGGTCATCAAACTGTTGCTCAGTCCCCATCATATACACAAACCATCCCAAGGGCCAAATGAAGTAATGGTTAAGGAGAGATGTGCTGCTACAGGAACCAGCAGTACCTCTGTATTGATGTTGGGATGTAGAGTCAGGGAGATGAATGGGTAATGGAGTCACAGCAGGCTCTTTACTTGTGATGTGAAATCCAAGGATGTGCCAGGTAGCTTCACCTGCAGACAGGTACCTGGCATTCCAGTAGTCATCAATTTTGTTGATAGGCTCCTCATTTCCTGAGGAGTCAGAGCAGAGGTTGTAGTGTGTATGGTCTGGTCCTGCATTGTTTTCATATCCATGTTAAGCTCAAAGAGGAAGGCATGAAGGGAAAGGCATACCTTTGTGAATGTGTTTGAATAAATACTGAAAGATGTGTGAGGTGCTCAACACCTCAAAGTTTAAGTGGCATTGAAATTTATGCAGGAGTGGGAGGCAGTGAGGAACTACCATTTCATCTCCAGGGTGGCATCAACAATAGTGTACATGGTCATCACCATTGATGGTGGTATTGGATTGAAGTGCATGAGGATAGTTGAAGTGGCATACATGCCAGCCATCAGGTAGTTGCTTCTGACAGTATTTGGAAGACAGGTGTTCTGGCATGGGGTGGTGATGGAGCATGAATGTACACACTAAGTGTGCATCTGCAGGATTGTCTGGGATCTCTGCTGAGATGACATGGTCAATGTCATCAGGTGTCTCACATTGAATAGAATACTTGAGGAGGATGCGTGCATGAGGAAGTCTATGCTTTTGGAAATCCACAGAGTGGATGCAATACAACACACAACTGGCATTGACAAACATGGACTTCAGCATTTTTACAAGCAGGCTCAGTTTTTGTTTGGGCATGCAAACAACCACAGTGGGTATGTTGGTGAATGTTTGCCCAGGCAGCAACTGGGACACAATTTCAGGCCACACTGTATTACATGTCATCATTACAAAGAAGGTTGGATTGCTGTAGGCAGCAGCAATTGCAAGGGAATCTGAGATTTGGTTGGAGGCCCAATGACAGGAATCAAGGAATGATGCTGAGAGATAAATGTTTTCACTTGGAAGGATGTCATCAATGCCCATGAGCTCTGCATTGTCACATTGAAGGTGTTTCTGGTTTGCATGGATAAAATTGAGTCTGGTCTCCAGGTTGCAACTGAACATGTTGACAATGTACTTGTTAGTGAGATGGCTGAAGATATGGAAGCAGGCCTCCTGAAGGATTCATGCCCAATAATGCCACAGCTGAGTGGTGGGATGGTCAGCATCATCATTAGAGACAGTGACTGACCCAGCATCTGGGGACATGTGCTTGACCCCCCAACCAAGTGAGCCAGGAACAGTAGAGGGTATGACAGTGGGTCCCACAGACAGCTCAAGGTAGAAATAGTTTGGTCAGTATCATCTTTAAGACAGATGCAGAGCCACCTAGATTTTGCCTGGGAGGTTGTAGTATTTTCATAAGACAAGACTGCAGCAATCTCAGTAGCACCATTGTCATGGAGAAGGAGGGATGCCTGAGGGTGTGTGCTGGACAAAGATGATAAAGACAAAATGGCATTCACAAACAGGTTGATGTCCTCCAGGGCAGATTTCACAGTGTCCACCCAACCAAGAGGCAGTTTTTCAGCCCACTCAGAGTGAGGGGTGTTGGCCATGAAGGCATCATAAAGTAACCAGCATATGGCAGAGCTGTGATGGGTTGGTTGCATGCAATGGTAGACTTGGCCTTGGATTGCAAGGAAACCTGGCACTGTGAAGTCATTTGGGAAGGGGTGTGTGGTTTCAAGGGATGTGAAGGAAAAGATGAGGTAAGAATGTGAGATAATGTCAAGATTTGAGGATGATCTGTCAGAGCCTGTATCTGCGGAGGCAGAGGAGGTAGGGGATGGATGTTGGTATATTGAGACCCATTCACCACACAACATAAACCTGCTTCCTCCCCCATCAGAAGGTCCAGGTGGCATGTTTTACACTGATGGTGCCTCCCATTACAGACTGCACCCCATGTGAGCCTTGGACTGGAGACAGGGCTGATGGCCCAATGTGAGCTTGGCAGAGGACTTGGTGACATCCCAGGAATATGCTCCAGGCAGTGATCCACACAATGCACTTGTAAGCCAGTAATAAAGCAAAAGGGCTAACACCAGATATGTCAACCTGTGATGGATCTGTGGCAGCCTGAAAGGAGGGGGGCATTGAAAGCATTTGGACAGTGTGAGTCAAAGTGTGGAAAGCTGGTGTGAAAACAAAACCAACACCAAAGACAAATATGAGCAAGTGGTGGTTTACCTCCATGGAACCTGGAGGGCAGAAGAATCTAATGTTGGGGAATTTCAACAGCAGGTGCTCCTAGCACAAGTTGTCAATGAGTTATGCAGGAACAGACAAGCAAGCTGGACAGGGGATGCTGAATGGAATGAAGATATTCAGCTGAAAGGACACCTGGCACAAGTTGACAATGATGATGGTAGATAGACCCTTCTGAATGAGCCTCAACTGCCAAGTATATGAATGATGACAGATAGACCCTTTTGTGGAGTCTCAACTGTCAATGATGAATTATGCACTGAGATAAGCTGAACTGACTGACTGGAATGCTTCTGGATTGCTTCAGTTGTAGCTAAGTACATGGGGGTTTACAGTGGCTCACACAATTGTCCCAATGTTTGGATGTTTTTCATTAATCATGGTGTAGTGAGTGAACTATCATCATTGAATCCAAGATGTTGGTGGATGGATCAAAGCAGTTGGTTATGGCTCTCTGATGAGCCATATTACATAATATTTGACTAGGAACTGATGTCAGAATACCCAAATGAAAATGAGAGCTCATTGGGACAATTATGTAACTTTGTGATATACTGGGGATGTAGTCCTTGGGAACACATATGAAACATGGTGAGATGCTCACCAATGCTTATGTAATGTATCACATGGTCTACTGAATGATTTGTCAACAAACAAACAATGCCCAACAGTGATTTTGCACCACTACATGGCCAAATGTAGCTAACAGTTACCTAACATTTGATGAAAATTATATATTTAATTGGAACTTGGCCTTGAAATAGACATTTCCCAGCCAATTCGTGAATGTTAGGCCAAGTATCTGTTTTAGAAAAATTCTCTTGGGCTGTTTTATCCCAAGTTTTTGAATGTCAATTTTAGGTTGCTCAGGGGTCAGTGGTGCTGCAGATTTCTATCACCATGATCCTTATGCTTGTATTCTACATTAATGAAGTAGCACACAGTCAAATTGATATAATACTTAACCTTCTATCAATATTAAAGTAACATCAAGTCTAGATCTACTGTACCTGTAGTACTTGTAAATCAGACATCAACACCAGTATTAATGCAAACTTGTGATTTGCTCAGAGGTAGGGAGTGAATTTTCACAAGGACAACAAATGGCAATCAATTGCTACCCTACAGGCACTCAAGAGTGTACATGATAGTCTTCATATGACAACATTAATATAGTGAACAATTTCTGCACTTTCTCCCACACAAGCTCTCTGATGGACAATGGTGAATCAAAGCTGACCATACCTGAGTTGAGCTCTGAAACTCAATTACAACTGAATGGACCCTCCATTGGGATCAATGGATTCCAGGTCAGCCACACATTGTGGGGGAACTGAGGGAAGGCCACAATGAACACCATCCAGAAAAATTCCCAACTCCATAGCCAGTTGGGTGAATGCTTCTCAGTGATGCTGTGGACCAACCAAAATTGAATTTCATCAGTGAGGGAATCCCATGCTGTGCCATCAAGGTGGTTAAAAGTAGGGCAAAGTGGAAGGTAAGGAAAATCTGTCTGTGAAATCTGTCAGCAGCAATGCATGACACCATATGAGCCACTTACATGCGACAGAGGTCAAAGTGGGGTATGAGGCATCACATCATAGGTGTGCAAAGATGGCCTAAGGCATGAATATTCTTCAGGGACATGGATAGATATCTGCATAAGCTGTGAACAGTAAAATGTGTCAGTAGATGGTGAAAGAAATAGGTGCCTCACAATGCAAGGCAGTGCATCAACAATGTTCAAGTGGCCATCAAATGAGATCGAACAATTTACTGGACTGAGACTGATGCCATTGACACATTGGATGGTAGACACATTGATGGAGGCCATAGCCATTCTGGTGGACATGGGGTTGGTGGTGTTGTTGATGGCACAAAATGCCAAACAGCAGTTGGCATCAGTCATGTGACATCACCACCATGCTGGATGATCAGTGCATGATAACATATGCTCAGCAGCAGATGTCCAGCACCTTGTCAAGCTCCTTAAACTTCAAGAATTGGTCGTGAATGTGAGTTGAGCTTGTCAATTTATCCCCATCAATTCCCTTGTCAATAATTGAGTAGGAATCACACGATGCAGATGTCCACTGGAATGCAGATACTGGTGCCACTGCACACATGACCCCTCATCGCCACTGGCTGCGCAATTACACCCCCAAATGTGTCCCTGTAAGACTGGCAGACAACAAATTGGTATACTCTGCTGGAGTTGGGTCTGTGGTGTTTGTGCCTGTGGTCAGAGGCCAGAAGCATCGCCCTGTGGAGATCACCAATGTCCTGCATGTCCCTGACCTGCGCAACAACCTGCTCTCTGTCTTATATCTCTGTCGCAACAGGGGCTTCTCTGCCAGCATCAATTCTTCGCAGATATCCTTTAGATGCCCCCCTGGGCCCGTCCTCTTCATTGCAAGAATTATGGACAACAACAGCACTTTCCTGGAGGGGGAGACACTCCCCATCACTGAATATGCCTCGGCTGCAACCACCTGCCCTTTAGACCTTGACCTCTGGCACAGAAGGCTTGCCCACCACCATGTGGCTGGTGTTAAATCGCTTCTAGAGCGAAATTTGGTCACTGGCATGACCCTAGACTCAAAGTCCTCCCCTGATCCCATCTGTGAACCATGTCTGGCTGGCAAGATGCATGCAAATCCCTTTCCTAGCTCGACTTGGCGTGCAACCAGGCCTCTGGAACTCGTCCACAGCGATGTGCATGATGTAGGCCATCTCTCCTTCTCAGGATATCGATATTGGGTCACTTTCATCGATGACTATTCGCGTTTTCGCTTTGTCCTGCCTCTCAAGGCCAAATCTGAAGTCTTTGATGCCTTCCAGAGGTTCAAGGCATTTGCAGAGAACCAATCTGAGCGAAAAATCAAGATTTTGCGTGATGACAAAGGAGGGGAGTATTTGAGCAGGGCCTTTGAAGAGTTCACATCAAAATGCGGCATTTTGCGCCAGCACACTGTCAGGAATTGCCCCCAGCAGAATGGAGTTGCAGAGAGAGCAAATAGGGTGCTATCTGAGTGAATCACTGCAATGCTGGACGAGTCTGGGCTCTCCAAGGCCTTCTGGGGTGAGTGCCTAGCTGCCCTGGTCCATGTCTGGAACAGGTGCCCCACTGAATCTCTCCAAAATGCGACCCCATATGAGCTATGGCATGGAAGGAAGCCAGATGTCTCCCATCTTCGAGTGTGGGGCTGTACTGCCTATGTACATGTCCAGAAAGACAAGAGGTGCCCTCTGGAGTCCCACACAGAGAAATGTGTCTTTATTGGCTATCCAGAAGGGTACAAGGGCTGGAAATTCTACAATCCCACCTCCAAGTGCACCATAATCTCAGAAAGGGCTGACTTTGATGAAAGGTACTTCCCCCTGTCCAAGCGCCCTTCCTTACCTTCTCTGGACGCTTCAAACCCACCCAATCAACCTCCACCTGCACCTCCAGCTTCCAAACCATCTTACTACCACCCTCACCCAGATTCTGACTCAGAAAGCGACTCTGGAGATTCCCTGGATCATGGGGGGGAGATAGAGCCTCTGGAGCCTCCAGCAGCTGATCCAGTGCCTATCCAGCCTCTCCCTGCTCAACCAGCTCATGATGCGCCACCTCCTCACACTCCATCGCCTGCACCACCCTCAAGACCTCCTAGTCCTGTTGGCATAGGTGCCAGACTGCCCAGAAGGTGAAGACAGAAGCCCAGAGAGTGGTGGAAGCTCTCCCCAGCTCAATTGGAGGACTCTGGTGATGAAGAAGACTCTGATGATGAGTTGGCCGTGTCTGCAGCCCTGCCAGATGAACCTCTTACGTTTGCAGAAGCCATGAGTCGCCCTGATGCGGAAAAATGGCGCAAAGCAGCCCTGGAGGAGTTGGCAGCTCACCAGACAAATGGGACTTGGAAACTCATCCCTAGACCCCCTGGATGCAAAGTCATTGGCTCCAAGTGGGTATTCAAGTGTTGCAGGTGTAGTACTCCAGCACTCAGCAATGCTAGTCCCTACTAGCACTTGGTGGTTAAACCACACCAAGTAAGCCTAGATACCTTGACCAAATAGCTCAGTGGTTAGAGCACCCAGTCGAAACCTGGGAGGTCCAGGGTTCAATCCCCTGTCTGGTTGCATTTATTGCAACATCAAGGTCAAGAGGAATGCTGATGGCTCCATAGATTGCTACAAGGCCAGACTGGTCGCAAAAGGCTACAATCAGCACCCTGGCTTTGATTATCTCGAGGTCGTTGCTCCTACAGTGTGCCTTGCCTCTGTCAGAGTGGTTCTAGCTCTTGCAGCTCTCCAGGACCTCCATCTGCGCTCTGTGGACATCTCCCATGCCTACCTGAATGGGGAAATGGACTGTGAAGTCTATATGGCACAACCTGAAGGATTTGTGGAAGGAAACTCGAAATCTCATGTCTGCCTGCTCCAGAAAGCCATCTATGGCAGCAAACAAGGTGGCAATCACTGGAACAAGAAAATGCGCTCTGTATTGGAGTCCCTGCACTTCAAACAAACCTATTCTGATGCCAGCATCTATATATACTCCAAGGATGGTGTCTCCATCATCTTGCCTGTTTTTGTGGATGATATGACTCTTGCTTCGTCTTCTGAAGCTGCCATAGACTCCTTCATCTCCCAACTCAGCCAGCACTTCAAACTGCGAGATCTAGGACCTACTACCCAACTCCTGGGCATCAAAATTGACAGAGATCGCCCCAATCGCTCAATTTCGCTCTCCCAGTGCCAGTACTGCCTGGATTTACTGGAAAGGTTTGGCATGGCTGACTGCAAGCCACTATCTACACCCATGGAGCCAAATCTTCGCCTCTCTCGCTCCCAGTCTCCCCAGGATGCCTCAGAAATCAAGCAAATGTGCCAAGTACCCTATCTCTCTGCTGTAGGTGCTCTGATGTACCTTGCCACCACTACCTGCCCAGACATTGCCTATACTGTTGGAGTTCTGGCCAGATTCAACTCCAATCCTGGCTGGGCTCATTGGCAGGCTGTGAAGCACCTAATGCGCTATATCAAGGGTACTCTGGACTATTCCCTGACCTATTCTCCTGATCCTTCAACCTCTGAGCCCTTCACCACCTTTTCTGATGCAGATCATGGTGGCTGCAAGGATACTGGTCGCTCTACAGGTGGATATGTTGTCAAGATGGGTACTGGAGCAATCTCCTGGTGTTCCAAGCTTCAAAACATCATTGCTCTATCTACCACTGAGGCAGAATACATAGCAGCTGTCCAGGCAGGCAAGGAGATCAAGTGGCTTCGAAATTTACTCTCTGAAATCACTTCTCCACTGTCTTCTCCCTCTGTGCTGCACATGGACAACCAATCTGCAATCTCTGTGGCCAAGAATCCTGAACACCATGGCAGAATGAAGCAACTTGATCTCTGCTTCTACTGGCTTAGAGATGCAGTCCAGGACAACCTCATTGCGCCAACTTTTGTCCCCACTGATGCCCAGGCTGCTGACCTGATGACCAAACCACTGTCCAAGGCCAAGGTATTCAGCAGTGCACCTGAGTGACCTTCTGGAAGTGACAGCAGAATCCCTCACAGTGGGCTCCGGTTGTGGGAAAAGCCCAAGCAGCTGTATAATACAAGCTAGATGGCTTAGGTAACAACAATAAAATGAAGGGAATGAATTGCTTGTCCCAAGGGATTCTGGACTGCTGAGACTAGAAGGTGGGACTCAGTGCTTTGTAGCAGTAATGATTCATGACATGCATGGCATGGTCCACAGAGTAGTACTGGTGATGCAAGCAGTGCAAGCATATGTGTAGTTCATGCATGGTGGTAGGTGAGATGTGCAGTGTAGACAAAGTGAAAAAGAAACTCATAGTGACCTTCCAAGTGCCAAAAGGTATCATTCTGTACCTAAGTACAGGGCTTTATAGTCCAGGCAAAGCTGGAACCTAAGTAAGACAGGGTACAAGTAAAGGAAAGCTGCATGACAGCATGCAACCACAAGACAGGCCTGAACAGAGGCTGAGGGTATACTACTAGCAAAAA